AAAAAAAATAAAATTGAAAAGTAACGGTTTTTGGCGGGAAAGTGCCACGTAGGTATAATTTAATAGGTTTTATTAAATGCTTATAAGCCAGTAATTATATATATATAGATTAATATTTATATAATAAAAAAATTAAAATGATTTATATTTTTATTATGAAAGTATGATAATAAATATACAACAATAATAAATACCTAACAAAGTGATAATTAATTTAAAACGACGGTCAATTAATTTAAAACAACGGTCGTATCTTTACATTAAATTTGTCAAAATGATTTTTTTTAATTATATGTTAAAATTATATATATGTAAAACAAATATTATTTACAACTCTATAAGTTTTATTCAATTTTTTGTACAAATCTATCGTTTATTAAATTTTAAATTATTTTAAATTTATATAATTTAATAATTTTATTAATTTAAACATAAGTGTTATTTTTTAACTTTTATAAAATAAAAAATTATTATTATAAATAATTATGAGATTTTTTTATATTTATTATTTTAAACAACATAATAACTTAAGTCCTTTACATAATCTATTTAAATCAAGAAATAATATTTTATATTATTACAAAGGCTAAGGTCTCATTTGGTTAATGGCGGTTTACCTCAAAAATAGCTTTTTAAGCTAGTTAGTTGTTTTGACCATTTAATCCGCTAAAAATTGTTTGGTAAACAGCTTTTAAGATCAGCGTTTTGGGGTTGATCCGCCAAAATCAGATCGCTGCTATTCAGAGCGTTTCGGTTTAGCGTTTCAGGTAATAAGAAATAAAAGTCTTAATTGTCCTTTTCTTCTCTCTCCTAACCTGCGTTCTTCGACATTGTTCACCTGCAGTTTGTATAGAATCCAAACCTTGAATTGTCTATCCAATTCGCTTCTGTCATTCAGATTTTACAACATTAGGCCTCTTTGCCCCTCGATTTGTATCAACTACGGAATTATTTGCATAATGGTCAAAAATATCTGAATCAAAGAGAAAAATTAGATCCACAAGAGGTATTTCAAATAAAATTCTTTTAACATAAAACCCCAAATCGTATAAATTTTTCTTGCATTTTTTATAGATTTTTTTTTT